TATCCATGTAAGCATGGTAAGTTCACGAAGGGTTAAAATTGGCCCTAAGATTTTGATGTTTTTTTTTTTAATCAGGCCATAATACTACAAATATCACATAGAAATAGTTATGATATTACTATTAATACAAAAAAAACTTCATTTTGGCACATCATATTAAATATGACGAAGTATTGACTCTTTAAGTATAATGCATTATATGTGTTGCAACGTCAGTTTTGGTCAAATTTTCAATAATTCTTAACATGTTTTAGCATAATTTACTTTGGTCGCCATCCAAGATCCAGAAAGTTTTGTGTCTAGGGATTCAATATCATCATTGGCAACTCTTGGTTACAGAACATTTTGAATCCTAGGTTGCAGCCAAGGGTTTTCTCAAGCTTATAGGTCAAGAAAATTCACAAAATCATCGTAAAAAACTATTTTGACAAAATATAAAAAATGTGCTGATTTTGAAGCAGAATTCTTTTACCAAGGAAGTAAATCTTTTGAAAAAGATCCATTTAAGAACCAAATTCTGGTGATTTTGAAATTTTACGATAAAGCTGAAATTCAGGGCCATATTGGGCCTAAAGTGAACATTGTCTTATGTCCCCAAAATTGACGTTTTCCTATGAAAATTACAAGAAAACAAAAATGGTGACCCCCATTTTTTATTTCATATTCCGATGTAACTCGGATCAAAGTACAAGTGCAGTGATCTGGAAGGATTTTTTCTCTATGGGCCCAGGGCCCCCCAAAAATAAATTCAATGGGCCATTTTTAGAATTAATTGGCCATGTTGTCAAATGAGTGGGCCATTCGTTTACAATAAAAAAGTGTATATTTCACTGTACTTACAAGTATGATTCTAATTAATATCATGGATATTGTTCCTGTGATTTTGTAATTTCAATTTCAATGAATATACAATAACTTCTTCCAAACCCGGCAATATTTACGATAACCTTTATTTACAATGTTAAAACTGGTACTGTTCCCTTGTTCATGTTCATGTATTTTTTACATTAAATTTGGGTCTTCGTCGATACCATACTTATTCCAGACGTTCCGTATTAGAGGACGTTTCTGGCATTTCCTCTGCACTTGTATTATTATTACTTCATCACGATGACAAAAATAACAGTAGAGAGCAACGTTAATTGATAAGACACAACAACAATTCGCTGAAGGCATGTTTACAAAATGTCAAAACGAGCCAAAGACCAAAACAATTGACAAGGACAGTTAAGCCCCTTTTATGGAGAAAAATACTATACTATGCATAAAAAGGCTTTTGGGTTTTTCAATCGAAATAATAGCAAGCTTACTTAAAAGATTATAATTAGAGAAGAATTCTCCCCTGTACTAGCCAATTTTCACAATTAAAGTTGTTTATAAAAAATTATATCATGAATGATGGTTAATTACGTTTTTTGGGTAATCAGTCATACCGCATGTTGCTATTATTACCATAGGAAAACACCCGAGACGTCCCAAAAATATATAGGTGCTCCTATCATTGGAGTGAACACTACACAATTGTGTACTCACACATGGCGGCACGAAATACGATCGGAAATCCATTTGACGATATCTCAACGTTTCAAAACGAAGTAAAAAATATCATGCGCCACGCGGGCGCTGACATTTGTTACTTTATGCGCCATTTCTGGTCAATAAGCGCAATTGGCGCAAGGCGCACGTCCTTCCCGATCACTGCTTGAAGTGTGCAAAATAATTTAGAAATCGGGAGATACGCCATTCGGTATCGTGTTACTTGTGCCTTCAAATGTATTGTAAACTCCCGTGGGACATTCCATGCATCTATTTTATTACCATCCAATGGTGTTTTGGTTTATAATATATCTTAACCATTTCCAAAGAAACATTTTATTCTCATAATTCTGTGAACATTCTTCTTATACTTTTCTGTATGAATAATTAGAGACAGTGGTATACGTCATTTAGACAGCAATCGCCAACGACACGAATAACTACTAGACTCTTAGAGGTCACAGTATATGGTTTTTAGTTTTATATCATCACATGAAGGATTCTGGGTTCATGTGATAGTAAAATGTGTTTTACCTAATCAAAAAACCGCTTCTTAAAAATTCAAGTGATATAAATTCAAGAAAATAGCTATTCAGAAATATTCTGCAAATGTATTCTAGTTTAACCCCACCATATTATGTATCTGCCTGTCCCAAGTCAGGAGCCTGTAATTCAGTGGTTGTCGTTTGTTGCAGTGGTACATATTTTTTTTCGTTCATTATTTTGCACATAAATTAGGCCGTTAGTTTTCTCGTTTGAATTGTTTTACATTTGTCATTTCGAGGCCTTTTATAGCTGACTATGCGGTATGGGCTTTGCTCATTGTTGAAGGCCGTAGGGTGACCTATAGTTGTTAATTTCTGTGTCATTTGGTCTCTTGTGGAAGCGTTAAAGGTCTGGAGCTGGCATGTCAGTAACTGCTAGTAGTCCTTTGTTCATTTATGTATCATTGTCATTTTGCTTAGTTTCTTTTGTTACCTATTCTGACATCGGACTCGGACTTCTTTTAAACTGAGTGTTACTGTGCGTATTGCTATGTGTTTCTTTATTCTACATTGGCTAGAGGTATAGTGGAGGGTTGAGATTATGCTCACAAAACATGTTTAACCCCGCCGCATTTTTGCGCCTGTCCAAAGTCAGGAGCCTCTGGCCTTTGTTAATCTTGTATGTTTTTTAATTTTAGTTCATTTATATGTTTTGGAGTTTAGTGTGACATCCATTTTCACTGAACTAGTACACAATTTTATTTAGGGGCTAGCTGAGGACCACCTCAAGGTGCGGGATTTTCTCGCTGCGTTGAAGACCCATTGGTGGCCTTCGGCTGTTGTCTGCTCTTTGGTCGGGTTGTTGTCTCTTTGGCATATTCCCCATTTCCATTCTCAATTTTATTAAAAAGCCAAAAACAACCAGTACATAATATTGTTTCCAATGTTTTATAAAAAGAATGTACAAAATAAACAATAATTCACAAATCTATCTAGAAATTATGATATTTAGGAATAAAGAGGGGGGAAATTGAAAATTCTACCACCAGGAAAGCGTCTACCGCGTGGTTATGTCGGCTTAAGTATAAAAAAGGAGATGAGGGCAGGAGAAGAGGGGAAGCTGAGAGGTAAATGAATCCATATTTTTGGTGTTTAATTCATGCAAAGCAATACGTTTTGTCATAAATAAAATAAAGATTGGTGACGTGCAATATAGTGTTATGTGCTATAATATTGCCACGTTCTCAGCACTCGAAACATGTGGGCGTTCGTCAAACAATTCTATAAGTTGGGTAAGAATATTTGACCAACATGGGAGGAGTAAGCAATTCAAATTATTGTTTTAACAGGTTAAGCGATAAACTTCATCTATCAATCACTTACTTATTTCTAATAACTAGTTGATTTGTGCATAGACGATAAATTAGAAGTGATTAATAATAAGAAATAGCGGTTAACCGATAAAATAGCGGTTAACCGATAAAAAAGCGGTTAACCGATAAAAAAGCGGTTAACCGACATATATATAGCGGTTAATCGATAAAAATAGCGGTTAACCGACATATAAATAGCGATTAACCGATAAAAATACCTTTTGAACCAAATGGTACACCATAGCTGGACACAGTGCTATTCCTTTATAAAAATTATAAAAACTGGGGATACAGGCGGACACAAGTGGACACAACGTAATTTCTATATAAAACATAGAATGTGCTGGCTAAGGCGGACACAACTGGACACAGTGATATTTCTATATAAAAATTACAGAAACAGGGGCCTACAGGCGGATACAAGTGGACACAACGTAATATCTATATAAAACTTATAGAATCTGCTGGCTACAGGCAGACACAGCAGGACACAGTGCTATTTCTATATAATACATATAAAAACTAGTGACTACAGGCGGACACAAGTGGACACAATGTAATATCTATATAAAACTTATTTAATCTGCTGGCTACAGGCGGACACAGCTGGACACATCATCTTCATCTTTTTATGTAAATTAAGCACCTCACATTTGAATAACTTTAAACACACCAGAACCAGGACCATGAATACATTTTTCTCAATGTTAATCTACTTTTTTCTGGATTTCACAAATGATCAATAAAACTTGACACCAGCCTAGACACATAAATATGATATCAGAACATTAAAACATTTCAGATAGAAAGTCAGCATTGTAGATTTGGATGAAAACTTGAAATGGAAAATTTTCGAGGCTGCATTTTGGGCATATAATTCTAAATTTATATACATTTCTACAATTTTCTATAGTGGAAATCCATTACATATTTTTTTGTTTAACAAATTGATACCAGTAGTTGGCAAAACCAGTTTCATGTTTAATTAACGCAATTCTTAAGCCTAAGAACCCAATAGGTTAAGCACAAAATGCAGTGAATTTCTCAGTTATATTAATGCAAATCAATTTAGAATAAAAACTATTTTCTTCAATATCAAATATCGACAGGAACACGATTTATTTTAAAACTAAATGTTTTATTTATTTTATCATAATTTTCAAGGGAAACAAACTATTTTTTTTCACTTCCCTGTATAAATTAAGTTATTTTTTCCAGAAATTAAGGATCAAACAATTCCCCCCCCCCCCCCCCCCCCCCCCCCCCCACCCCTACCCCCTCCCCCTCTTTCAGACCCCAATTGTGTTTTCAATAATCTATAGACTAATAAAACCTAAACAGTGCGTGTGGTGAATCCTTTTAGGATATAAACTCAAAGAAACATCTACCGGTACCTGCTCAAACTCAAGTCATGGATAATTGTATGTCATAACTGACTAGACAATTTAATTCAGTTTGACGTACAGCTCCGTAAACTTATACCCTGGGAACAGTATATCAATATATATGTTCCTGTTATACTGAACCATATCCAAACGAATATGATTTCATCTTTAAGGCGCAACACATATAAATATTGGGAATGCGTAAGAAAAATAGGAAGACATCAGTGGAAGAAATACATTGTTCACACTATATGAAAATCAAAGGCTATATACACGCAAAGCTCCCGCTGTGAATCAGGAAGATCGGGGAAGAAAAGTCTGATAAGCCTACATCTGATAATTATCAAGGAATATATATCTGCTTACTTTGATATAGTTGTATTGCCATTCGTTTTTATTATTTATAGTAGGCCCCAAGTTAAAATCAGCTCTACACGTTTGGATGTACGCTGGATTACTATATATAACAATCGATTTTGCATGCGCCTGCGCAATGCGAATATTGAAAGTACAATAGAATAAAAGTTGCAGGAGTTTTGTCACAGCAAGTGTCCTTTAAGGGTATAAAATTGTATAGACAATTAATTAACTCTATTTCTTGAATAACACACAGCATTACACTGGAACTATTTGAATATTAAATATTGGTATTGGTGTTCTAGATGGATGTGTCCAGTGCCAACGCATGCCAATACGAATTTACAGAATAATCCTAGAGTCAACTTTTCTCAAATGTGTGCAGTTTTTATATAAATTTCTACTTTGATATACTGCCATCCTGACTTGTCGATAGTATTTTACATGTTCCAAAAGGTGGCAATAAATTAAGTATCACTGTAGTAGATAATTTTCAGGCAGTAACAAATCAACAAATATCCAAGTCCAACCAGATCTGGTGATAAAATTCCAGGTTTTATTCCCATACTAGCTGTACTTATAATCTTATTTTCCTGATTTTCCTGACATCCATTCTTTTGTTCCAGTCAAAATCATTACAAGGTTAACCACCAAAAATATCCTGTCATGTTTCAATCTGCATAAATTTTTTGTATTAAGATTGAAAATGAACAAACAATAAATACCTGAGAAGTCTACAGCACAGACCCCTCTTTGATGTTGACCTTTCAGTACTGACGATGTTTCATTGATTCTGTATCCCAGATATGTATAGTTCATCAGTCTCTTCCAACCTGTATGTACATAAATTAGATTAAAATATATTTAAAAAAAGATTCTACTACTACCATAAAGGTACTTTTGAACAATGATTCCATAATTTCTGGCTTTGTACTTGTTTTGGCTTTCAAACTTTTTTCATCTGAGCGTCACTGGTTGGTCTTGTGTGGACAAGACGCACATCTGACGTATTGAATTTTAAGCCTAGTACCTTTTGTTAGCTATTATTCGTGTGTTTCTTTGTCCTATGTGTTCTCCCATTTATTTGTTTTGTGGTCCTGTCATGTGATGATGTCGTTTTGGTGTTGTGTTTGCCGTTGCCATAAAAGCGGGAGGTTTGGCATGCCACAAAACCAGGTTCAACCCACCATTTTTTTCTTAAAATGTCCTGTACCAAGTCAGGAAAATGGCCATTGTTATATTATAGTTCGTTTCTGTGTGTGTTACATTTTAATGTTGTGTTTTTGTTGTGTCGTTGTTCTCCTCTTAAATTTGATGCGTTTCCTTCAGTTTTAGTTTGTAACCCGGATTTGTTTTTATCTCTATCGATTTATGAGTTTCGAACAGCGGTATACTACTGTTGCCTTTATTTAGATATATTTTATAATATTTAGATATTAAAGGTTTGCCATAAATCAATGGATAATGTTTGATGTCACATGATATTTTTCTCTCTAAGGGATATTAGCCAATAACAATCCATTCTGTAAAATATTTTACAGAATGGACTGTTAGAGGCTTGTATCTTACATTGTTTTACACGTTGAAACCTGAAAATTATAAAAACTTTCATAGTCCCCTGGTTCATGAAGGAAGTTCTAATTCGCACTTTGTACACAGGATAAGGTTTCGGTTGTTCATGACCCTTGTATTGCGGCATGATCTATCAAATTTTAGAAGCATTACTTTATTGCTTTTTTCATCTTAGTTGCAGTTGAAAATGATGTTAGGAAGGGCATCACCAGAGGTCAATTTTGATAACCTAAAGACGGACGAGGATAAATCTTTTGGAAAAAGAAATTCATAAAAGCAATAAAAACAAGACTTACAACGAGCATAATCAACTTATTGAATTAGTGCTAAAAGAGACAACCCAAAACATGAGAAAAATGGCTGTGATATAAGTATTGGTAGTGTTAATAAACTAGCTGTTATCACAGAGATATGTCTCGCTTTTTTGTAATTTCGATAATGCAAATGTTGAAATTAAAATAGAAACACTTTATTTAACATGTACGTTTTGCAAATACTCAAAGTCAATGAAACATGACTGAAGGTACATGGCTAAAGAATCTCCATGGAAATGAGATGTACCAATGCTAATACAACTGCATACTAAATACCATTAACTTATCATAAGTAGTTCCCTTTAAACATACCTAAACACAAGCTCATACATTTAAATATAGCAAAATTTCAAACACAAGTTAATACATTTAAATAAAGCAAAATTTCAAAGTCAATAAACCATAACTGAGGGGGCAGGGGTCAAATAATTTTCCTGGTAATGAGATGTGCCAATGCTAATACAACTGCATACTAAATATCATTGACCTATCGCTAGTGGTTCTCCATAAACCGACCTAATCACAAACTAGTACATGAAAACTAAGCAAAAGTTTCAAAGTCAATAGACCATGACTGAGGGGGCAGGGCCAAATAATTTCCATGGAAATGAGATATGCCAATGCTTATACAACTGCATACCAATTATCATTTACTTATCACTAGTGGTTCCCCATAAACTGACCTAATCACAAACTAATACATGAAAACTAAGCAAAAATTTCAAAGTTATTAGACCATGACTGAGGGGGCGGGGCCAAATAATCTCCATGGAAATGAGATATGCCAATGCTTATACAACTGCATACCAATAATCATTAACTTACCACTAGTGGTTCCCCATAAAATGACCTAATCACAAACTAATACATGAAAACTAAGCAAAGTTTCAAAGTCAATAGACCATGACTGAGGGGGTGAGGCCAAATAATCTCCATGGTAATGAGATGTGCCAATACCAATACAACTGCATACCAAATATCTTTGACTTACCACTAGTGGTTCACCATAAACTAGACATAATCACAAACTAATATATTGTTGACGCCGCCGTAGCCACCGACGCCAGAAACAGCATACCTATGTCTCGCTTTTTGACTCCGTCAAGCTCAAGAAACCGTTTTGATGAGTGACAAAATTATTGTATTGGAAGGTGACTTTAATAAAATGTTTTTTTAATTGTCATTTGATCTTTGGTTTTATTTTTGTTTACATGATGAAAACAATTGGGGTAATTAATAGTTTTTTTTTATTTCAGTGATTGAACTATCATTTATCTGTAAGAATCAGTAATGCTACCCTTTGGCTGTCCAATATTTTTAAGAAAGAGGAGGTCTATTCTTAAAAATATTGGACAGCTAAAGGTATCATAATGGTTTCTTACAGGTTAATGATAGTCCAATCACTGAAATAAAGAACGGGTAAAACAATAGAATGACATCACAACAATGTTTTAATTATTCACAACAATGTTTTAATTATCCATAACATTTTAGAATATGAGACAGGAGAATGAAATGCCAGACATGTGACCTCTAGTCTGACTTTCTGACTGGCTTAAGTCATCTCTATAAAAAAACATCCTTTTCAAACGATAACTTCAAGATAACAGATAAACAATGTTTCAATAGTAATTTCCTAAGATAAAAAAAATATAGAAAAATGCACCTAGCTTATTAAAGAGGCATTTATTAGCAGCATGTTTATGATAAAATCGCCAATAGATTGCATCCTTTTTTGTTGATAGTTTACTATAAAGTAACAATCGGTAAACTTCGGCTTCAAAACACGGCAATTAATGAGCTACCATATTTGTTAGATCATAACAGACAGAGAGAAAAAAAATTGACAATTTAAAAACGATATCTTTGCGTAAAAAATGATAAAATCGTGCACAGAAGACTAAGTTTATGATATAAACATGCATTGCGCCTGTCCCAAGTCAGGAGCCATTGGCCTTTGTTAGTCTTGTATCATTTTTAATTTTAGTTTCTTGTGTATATTTGGAGTTTAGTATGACGTCCATTATCACTGAACTAGTATACATATTTGTTAAGGGGCCAGCTGAAGGACGCCTCCGGGTGAGGGAGTTTCTCGCTGCATTGAAGACCCATTGGTGGCCTTCGGCTGTTGTCTGCTCTGTTGGGTTGTTGTCTCTTTGACACATTCCCCATTTCCATTAATTCTCAATTTTATTGGTTCAAGAATTGGATAAACATTATTTTTCATTAGTCACTCGTTTCATATGACTTTAAACTTGAGAATGTAATAATTTCAATGTTTAGTGAACCGTGGAATAGGCCTAATACCATAGTAATTTCACATCATGTGGCCTTATTTTCATGTTGATAAGACCACAACGTCAATGTAAACAACCTAAAAATCTATTTGGACTGACAGACGAACAGACCATACAACATAATATCCATTACAATCATAAGTAAAATAACATGTAATTGGAATTAGCTGAAATGATTTTTTTTCAATTTATTGTTGGCTTTGCTTGTGAAAAGTTAAAAAACTTAATTTTGGTATACATTCTTAGTAGACAATGTGTTCAAAGGGAAATAACTCACCATAACCATAAAACATCTATTTTCTATACATGTCCCAGTACAACTAATGATTCCTGACAAGATAATAAAGGCTCCTGTTCCTAGTAGCAAGTATGATGCCAAAGGGAAAGTCATGCTCCCTAGCAGACTGATATAGGTATGCTTCTGGAACTTGATATATAACCCTAATGCTAGGAAAGCTAACTGGGCTGTCAGCTGGAAAAGAAATATAGAATTTATCATGCACAAAAATACTATTGAATTTTAAAGAACATTTAATTAATTGACAGAACATGATAAAGAAAAGTTAGGAAACGGAATATTTTTGTAATTTGAAGTTAGCAATGTTAGCTGAAAAATTAGAAATAATTTTATATTAGGATCTTTTATCCTGTTAGCATGGTTATAAAATCTTACTAGCAACAGAATACAGTAAACAATGAAGGAAGAATTTCATTTAATTTGAACAAAGAACAAAGGGAGATTATTCAATTAACATGTATCTATATCTTCTCTTATGTCTTATATTATACATTTACAAATTCTATACTTTATATAGTTAGTTCTGAACATGCATATATAATATTTACCAATGGATGATTCTAAGCAACCAATAATCAATAAATCATTTAAATTGTAATATCTTTTTAAGTTGCCTTTTCTATAACTATAAACATATATATAATACACTTACCCAAAAGAAAAAGTTGAACACATAAAGGACGACTTTTAGGAAGTTTTTACCACACAGGTCCCTTTTTCTCCTATTATTTCCTCTAGCTGATTGTAAAATCCCAAAACTGATAGAATGTTAACTTCTGTTTAACCACTGTCTGCACACTGCACACTAACAATCTTTTGTTACTGATATCGTTTGCAGCTTTTTCAAATTCAATGAGGCTATTTGTATTGATTCAGTTACCATCCATCTATTGTGAAAGAGAAAGAAGATATTACTATCAGAACAAAAAATGTCCACAGATATACTGCACTTAAAGTTAACTTTAGTTACTTTCCTGAAAAAACCAATTAGATAATTTCACATAATCTTTACTTTATGACTTTATAAAGTTTTTCTATCACATGAAAAAGTAATTATAATTTAATGCATATAATAAACGTAATTAACTGCAGTCAGGGGTGTAGCTGCCGTAAGGCACTTTAGGCACGTGCCTACACATAATTTTTTCACAAATAATGTTTTTATTAAAAAAAGTAATAAACAATGTTATCTGTAGATGCATGTGAATTCGTCAAAACTCTTTAATAACGAATGTCATGCGTACACTAGTCTATCATCCTTATTGAATCAGTGGCGTATTGGAACTGTATGTCATTATATTCCACCTAATATAGAAACTATAAACTAGAACTTTGGTTCAGATAATTCACTTCAATCAACAAATACTTGAATGAACCTCAACTTAGATAAATGATTTTTTTTAATTAGTTGTTGTTGGCCCAAGTTCAATCTGATGCCTAGTGAAGAGAGAAAGAATGCCACGCTCTCTGCACGTTAAGACACTTGAAACAACTCTTTGAGGGGTTAGTAGGTTGTCTACTGAAAGGCAAATTTCTGTTCCTATTTAATAAACCCTCATTTTCCAAATTTCCAGACCTTCATCCTGGACGACCTCTATCTGTTTTAGTCCTGAACATGCATGAATTATTTGCCACTGGACGTCTATCAATCAATCAATCAATCATTCAATCAATCAATCAATCAATCAACTAGCTTTCAGTAACTTCGAGTACTCTCAGATCTACATGTAATGACGATAATTATTCAAATTCCTAAGCAGGTAGGGATTTTACAGTACAGGATATAAGAAAATATGAATTTCTTGAATTTTGTTAGACACCGGTAGTATGAACAGAACAGAACAGAACTTCTGCATGACCTATTGACTTTGTGTGTGTATTTGTGTGGCCAAGGAAGGGTGAAGGTTTAAGAATCAAAATATGAATGGTCGATGCGCCGTATTCCAAAAGTTAGTATTATTATGTAGTAGTCTCAGTGTTTACGTGCCTATTTATTTTTTAATGAAGGATCGTCAATATGTACTATCAATTGATGTATATATCAATTATACTCAATCAGAAACAGGTTGTGCTGCTTAATAAAGGGCTACGCTGATCCACGCTGGGCAATGCATATTGGAAATATTGTTTTTTTTTATATTTCCAATTGTACTGCCGGTTAATTCATCAGTCAGATGTAATTGTAGAATTATGTTTATTTTTTCGACATTGTTTTCATGTATATTATCATGATAAAATGACGTTTTTTTATGTTTTTTTGTACACAAAATTTAGCATCTTAAATGCTGAAAACCGTTTTCCGTCGGAGGGCTACGCCCCCAGAACCCCTTACCAGGAGCCTTATGGGGCCCCAGACCCCCTGCCGCAATTTGTGCCTACAGTTTATTGGATACCTAGCTATGCCCCTGGCAGTTGTCTGGCTATGCTTCATCTCACAATATATTGTGTATACATATACACCTGGTGATACCCACCCAGATACATTATTCACATATACGACCATGCAAGACCCTCATGGATAACCAGGGTCAGTAAAAAAAACCATGTCATTCACAATATAAAAACCATACAATAATTTCTGTATTAACAGTATTTGAAATGTTCTACAACAGTTTAACCAGGTATTTAAAATCTTAACCCTGTGGTTTTTAGATACAATCCAAATGGACTTTGATGCTTTGGTGTTGATATTTAAATGTCTTCTTACTTTTTGTGTCATTAAGTTGCTGTCTCATTGATATATTATACCCTTTATCTCCATTATTCAACTTTTTATCATGGTAAGCAAAGGTATTTAGGCCATGTTAAATTACTGAAAGAACTTATATGTATGGGCTTTGCTCATTGTTAAAGGTCATAAGGTGACCCGTAGCTGTTAATTTCTGTGTCATTTGGTCTCTTGTGGCTCGTTTCTCATTGGCAATCGTACCACATCTTCTTTTTCATATTATGCAAGATAATGCCTGGTTTCCCCTTTGATTTGTTCAAATCTTCAAATATTAATGTAAACATAAAGTAACCAGATGCTCCGCAGGGTGCAGCTTTATAAGACTGCAGAGGTCGAACCCTGAACAGTTGGGACAAGTATGGACACAACATTCAAGCTTGATACAGCTCTGAATTTGGATTGTGATTAAATAGTTGACACAGCATAGGTTTCTGGTAGTCTAATGAACTTAAAAAATTTATTTGCTTTTGAGTAATACACTATGCTGTTGAATATTAATCCCCTAAAAAAAAATATTTAAAGAAATCTGAAATGAGAAAAATTGTACCCCCTACCCCCCCCCCCCCCCCCCCCCCCCCCCCCCCCTTTTTTTTAATCTTCTCTTTTCCCTTATTCCAATAATAATCTCAATTCAAATTTCTTATGGAGTTTTTCACAATAACTACTCATTTAATAAATACATCATAAAATATAAAAATATAAAATGACATAGTCATGGTTAAAATAAATATAAATGAATAGTATTACTTCTAAAAAAAAAATTACAGCTTATCATCTCAAGACAATCATCATTTCTTAATACATAATTTTCAAACAGTGTAAGGGAGGTAATCAAACATATATATAACAGTATTCTTTAAATTTGAATTGGATTACCTCCCTAACACAGCTTTTAAATTGTCTAAATTGTCCTTAAACCAGAAAAACATGTGTTTTCCCCCCTTTTTTTTGGCCCCTAATTGCTAAATGATTTAAGCCATAACCCCCAATAACTATCCCTTTGTAGTATGGAAACTTGTGGTATAATTTCAGAGAGATTTATACACTTAAACACAAGTTATTGACTGTAAACTACAACAAGTTATTGTCTGGAAACTAGAAAAATGCTTGTTTTTGGCCCTTTTATGGCCCCTAATTCTTGCATGAATGGGACAATAATGCCCAAACTCAATCTAAGTCTTCCTTTTGTGATATGGAACTTTGTGGTACAATATAAGAGAGATCTATACACTTACACACAAGTTATTGTCCAGAAACTACAAAAATGCTTGTTTTTGGCCCCTTTTGGGCCCTTAATTCTTAACTGTTGACACCATAGACCGCAAAATGAATCCCAACCTTTTACTTGTGGTATTAAACATTATGGTACAATTTCAGAGCAATTGAAATACTTATACACAAGTTATTATCCTGAAAGTAGAAAAATGCTTGTTTTGGGGCCTTTTTGGGTCTATTATTACTTGGGACCATCAACCCCAAAATCAATCCCAACCTTTCTTTTGTGGTATTGAACCTTTTAATTAAATTTCAAAGAGATCCATTCATGTAAACTAAAGTTATTGTCCGGAAACCAAATGTGTCATCGGACAACGCAGACGACGACATCATACCATTATACAATCCAAAAAAAATGTTTGCGGGTTAAATATATTTATCATGTGTGTCTAAAGACTACATCAGGTGCCATTTAACTAGCTGCCAATTTGACTAGGTGCTGATTTGACTATAACGGGTGCCGATTTGACTGGATACTGATTTGACTAGAACTCTGACCAATGAGCTGTTGAATACCATAAATGGGCTGTCGACATTTGATCAAGCTTCCGTCGTAAATATTGGTCACAGTGTAATTAACCAGATTGTTTTGGGGCCAGATTGATTTTGGGCCAGAACAACCTGATACCCTAGTACTGATACCCTAGTACTGATACCCTAGTACTTTACCAGTATATAATAGAACATTAGTAAGTTAATCTGTTTATATCTAGTTAACCATTTACCCCCCAGAAGATATATCCTGTCATTCCTGTTGTCTAGTGTTTATTGTACTTCTTCTTCTATATTTTGTGGTTAATCTGCAGTTGAAATTTCCATAACACAGATATACTGTGCGGGTGTGTCAACCAGTACACGCCAAGTTAAAAATAAACAAAAACTTGTGTATTTACAGGAACAAAATCAAATAAAATTATGTGAGTTTGCAACAACTGTACAGGGTTAAAATCAGGTATCAATAGTTACGCCAGGAACTGCCACACACAGACCCGGAAGGCGTCTGTTGTGGGGGCTTGGATGGCACTTTCAGGTAATTGGTGAAACTGTATTTATAGGCATCCGTTGAAGTGCTGACTCTGGAAAACCAGTCTCTGTGCCTGTGGTATTGTCTGGTTGTTACAATTGGTCTCCTGATGTAATCTGGGATAATGACTGATGCTTCTCCATGCAGTATCTAATATAGGAGTATGAGCCTGGCTACTTGTCTGCGTGTTGCTAGTGTTGGCCAGCCAAGTGTCTGTAGGATGTTGGTTACAGAACCTGGTTCCCGAGAATAGGTTGTTGTAGATCTAGTCGGTTGAATTATGACTTATGTAATGACAAAGCATACACTATTTGGATACTTAAATTGTAAATAAAATTTAGCTTCTGTTTATCTATCTTGATAGTAATTTGTGTTGTCATCTATCTAAAGCACGTGAATAAATTAAAATCACACAACAATATTGCACTTTGGATGAGTTTGGTAGAAAAGTCACGACAACAACCTAACTTCCGGTTGGTTTTGTTAAATAAACAGAAGTACTCCAGTTGCTCCGTTCGATAGCCAATGGTCAGAGATATTTTGAATGAGGAAGGTTTTATTTTGGTAAACTATTATAATAACAGTTTTATTTGACATTCAAATACCAAGCCTGTTTTCGTAAATTAGAACATTCTTATAAAACTTATATATGTTATGATTATTTAAAAGAAAAATCTATATGTAATATGAATTGTAACTGAACCTTGTGAAAACACTGTTTATTCTAAACAAAAGATAATGTTATTTATAGCGGGGAAATCGTGTCATTCTATAATGGGCATAAAATATGACTTGTACTCAGAGGCGTATTAAGTGGGGGACAGGGGTCCTGGTCCCTTTGTAGGAAAATTCGTTTGACTAAGTTATTTAGGGATCAGTAAAGCATGACTGGAGTGGGACCCCTTTTGGCCACTACCACCCCCTTTATCAAAATTTCTGGATCTTCACTGGTACTGCATACATACTTTTATCATCGGTACTTAATATTTTTTTCCTTTGCTTTGTTTTTACTTTTATATTCCGGCTCTGCGCTCAATTTAACTGTGCTTTTTTCAGTGTTGCTATCATGAGCACTGTGATTTCTTGTTTCACTTAATAATGCTTTCATATTGATATGCATTTTATTTTATTTGCATGTCTTAAATTGTTTACATGAATTGTATACGCCTTTTATTTGTTCGTTGGTAAAAAGTTGTACAGAGCTTACATTATTATAGGTTTATAATGTACCAAATTTTATTTTTCTCAACCTTGTTATGTTTTATAGTCTCACTTATGGGTACTTATTGGTCATCCCTAATGACCGACTTGTTTTGTATTTCTGTGAAGCAGAATTCCTACAAAACATTTCAAAGATAATAAATTGCTTCGCCGAGCGCAGCTAGATACGACCGCGGAGGTCCTACCATGAACAGTTGGGGCAAAAATGGACACAATATTCGCGCTTGGGTCTGAATATGGATTGTAATTAAATATTTGACACATAATAGGATTCTGACAGAGAATAACTGTAGTCAAGGAACTTAGAATTGGTTATATGTTTCAATTTATATTAATTTTTTTGGCTTATATGCAATACACTATGCTGTTGCGAATTGACCCCCTACCCAAAAAAATACACCCCTTAAGCTTTCTGTTGCGTATTGACCCCTCATTTTTTTTTGCTCTTGTGCAATACACTATTATGCTGTTGTTTATTGACACCTCCCCTTTTTTTTTTGGCAAAAATAAATTATATTTAAAGAAAATGTCTTTTTAATTTCTGAAATTTCTGTAATCTAAAATTTAAAATTTAAAATTCCAAATAGAATTTGCAACCATAATTACCCATTTTAAACACATCCTAAAATTCTTTTTTAAAACAGTTAGTTCTCTCTTGATGGCTGTATTTTTGACATTTTCACCTATTATGTCTGTTTGATTTGTTCACACATCGTTGTCAATATAATGGAATTTGATGTGACTGTCATACAAGTGAGAGGTTTAGCTAGTTATAAAAGCAGGCTCAATCCACCATTTTCTACATAAGAAAGTGCCTGTACCAAGTCAGAATATGATAGTTGTTATCCATTCATTTCATGTGTTTGAGCTTTTGATTTTGCCATTTGATTAGGGACTTTCCGTTTTGAATTTTTCTCAGAGTTTAGTATTTTTGTGATTTTACTTTTTTCTAAAAACAAATTGGCAGCAAATCACCTCAAGACAATACATTTCGTTATACATGATTTAAAAGTAGTGTAAGGGATGTAATTCAAACGTAACATTCATGTACTTAAATAAGTAATAGTCCATCAAACAGGAAATCATTGTTTTCCCCCTTTTTTGCCCCTAATTCCTAATTGGTTTAAGCTATAACCCTCAAAAGCCAATCCTAACCATCCTTTTGAGGAATGGAAAATCGTGGTATAATTTCAGAGAGATCCATACAATGTTCCACAAGTTATTGTCTGGAAACTAGAAAAATGTTTTTTTGGGCCCCTTTTTGCCTCCTTAAATCCCTAAACTGTTGGGACCACAACCCCTTAAATCAACCCCAACCTTTCTTGTGTGGTTATAAACCTTGTGTTCAAATTTCATACATTTCTATTTACTTATACTAAAGTTATTTAATTATTTAATGTAAATGTGAAAATAATTGATAATCATTATGAATGTCAAAAGTGTATATTGAATTTTGAAGTGTTTTGGTTGTGTTGATAAAAAAACATGTTGCAAAAAAAGACTAGATGTGTCGAAACGGCACGAATGGCCCTGTCTCAAAAAGTAGAAAAATCTGCAATTTCAACAACACATGTGAACACAAACATGATGGTAGTCTCACATATCAAAATTCTGCTCAAAATCTTCAGGCTTTAAAAAACTCCATTTAACTGTGATTTTCGACCATTTATCAAAGTTCAAAGCCTGTAATTTTGGGGAAAATTAGCAAAGCGGAACTAAACATAAATTTGATCTGTAACTCATCATGGTTAACTCACATACCAGAAATCAGCCCAATATCTGAAGGCGTTTAGAAAAAAAACCTGTATAACTGTGATTTTCAACAATTTATCGAAGTCCAAAGCCCGTAATTTCGGCAAAAATAGTAGAGCAGGACAAAACTCAAACTTGATCTGTAACTCATCATGGTTAACTCACATACCAAAAATCAGTCCAATATCTGAAGGCCTTTAGAAAAAAAAGTCTGTATAACTGTGATTTTCAACAATTTATCGAAGTCCAAAGCCTGTAATTTTGGCAAAAATTAGCGGACCAGAACGAAACTAAAACTTCATCTAAAACTCATCATGGTGAACTCACATACCAAAAAGTGGTCCAATATCTGAAGGCATTTAGAAAAAAAGCCCGTATAATGGTTTGTTGCGGAATGACGGAATGACAGAATGATGGAAAGATGGATTGACGGAATGATGGAATGACAGACAAGGGTAAAACTATATGGCCCCGACAGCTTTGTTGCGAGGCCATATTTGTTGCGGGGCCATAAAAAGCTTCATCATGTGTAATTACTAGTTCATGAAGATCAAAAATGTTCTCAACTTGGAAGAAAAACACAGCACTTGGTATCAATCCAACATGAACTGTACAGAAGCTGCTGCTTAATTTGATGAAAAGCCACAACTCTATCTAGCTACTGAGAAGTGCTACAATATTTATATATAAGCAGCACATAAAACAGTAACAAGAAAGGCTGTTAACCTGTGAACTTTTAGACGACAGCAATTTCTCAATATTTAAACTTATCAGATTGATGTAGAAAACAGAAACTACATGAGACAAAACAGAAACTATACTTCCAGACCAGTACACCCTGCCCTTACTATGAAATCACATTCTCTCACAGATTAACTCCCTCTCTATATTCCACTTACAATCATATACCCTCACCCTCTCCATCATTCTATTTTTCTCCCTCCCTTTCTCACCCTTTCACCCTATCATAACACCCTTAACCACCTACCACCTAATACCCCTTCTGCTTCGTGTTAAGTCCCTATGAGAAAATTGGGTTAGTAGATGAATACGATATTATAAGATGTACCAGATATGGAAGATCTTAAAATTTTAGAAATGTGAAGGAAATTTAGAACTGATTGATATCAAACATAAATATATGAACCTGAGCCACTTTTAGAAATGTAGTCTTATTTTCTACACATAATGGTCATCATAGCATTCGTACAAAAGATTAACAGCCAACGTTACAGAAAGCCAAATTGTGTAATGTAAATTTGAACATAGAATGCTGTTTTGATTGATAAACATTATGGAGGCCAAAAAGTATATACTGTGATTTAATTTTTTTTCGTTGGATACCAATTTTCGTGGAATTCGTGGGAACAGGGGAACCACGGATTTAAATGTTCAACGATTTACAAATTTTTCATAGGTTTGTATGCAGAATGGAGCAAAACCACGAAATTTAATATCCACGAAAGTGTAAGTTTTCCTCAATCGACGAAAATTGATACCCACGAAAATAAATGAATCCACAGTATCCCACTCTTAATTTTGAAGTGTTTTTGGTGTGTTGATTACAAAATATGTTGAAAAAAATGAAAAAAACATAAATGAAAATTGCTAAATGGTATAAATCCAAATAGTTCAAAAACACATAAAACAAAAAGCCAAATGAAAAATGCCAAAGTTTAAAAATACCTGTCTGCTTGTACTAGCCAGCCGGCCTGTGGGTTAGCTGGACTTAAAGGTGCTAGTTCACCAAGACAAATGCCCACAGTAGGTCACCTATCTTTTCCTTTTGGAGTACCAGTTTTTAAGTCTTTGATTTGACTTGGGGGCTCAACATTTAACTAAAAAAAGATAAAAAAAAAGGTCTCCTGTATAAATTAAAATTTGGTCTTAAAAAGTAAAATATTCCCTTTGTCCCCCACACCCAAATGGATAAAATAATGTAAAAAGTCCCTCATTTCCCAAATAATCATAAAATGACCTGCCTCAACTTATAAATTAGGATAAAAACAGTAAAATATCTCCAATTAAAATTTAGATAAAAACAGTAAAATATCCCTAATTAAAATTTAGATAAAAACAGTAAAATATCCGATTAAAATTTGGATAAATGCAGAAAAATATCCCCAATTAAAATTTGGATAAAAACAGTAAAATATTCCCAATTAAAATTTGGATAAAAACAAATAAAATACTTTTTTCCCCTTAAAAGCATGTTACAGAGCTTCACATGCAGACTGAGCCACCTCACTCTCAGTTTGTTCCAGTAAAAAATCCCCAATTAAAATTTGGATAAAACAGTAAAATATCCCCAATTAAAATTTGGATAAAAACAAATAAAATACTTTTTTCCCCTTAGCAGCATGTTACAGAGATTCACATGCAGACTTGAGCCACCTCACTCTCAGTTTGTTCCAGTAAAAACAATAAAATATCCCCAATTAAAATTTGGATAAAAAACAGTAAAATATTCCCCAATTAAAATTTGGATAAATAC